GGATTAATTGCTTTTGTGTACTTCTTTAACTCTTCCACTGTCATGTAGTTTGTTTTCAATATTTGTGGGGATTAATTGCTTTTGTGTACTTCTTTAACTCTTCCACTGTCATGTAGTATGTTTTCAATATTTGTGGGGATTAATTGACTTTTGTGTACTTCTTTAACTCTTCCACTGTCATGTGGTTTGTTTTCAATACTTGTGGGGATTGCCGTATTTGACGGCATACAGGACGCACTTATTTCCCAAAATTTTGGCTATAAAAATCGCCCTGCGTCTAATATGTGATGTTGAGACCTTCCGCGGGCTAATCTTCTTCCTAACGCTCACTATCCTAGCATACGATCAGTACAGCATTCCAACTACGAAATAAGAGTGTAAATATTAAAGTGTAATCCCCATTTTCTTACTGTGTTTTAGTTTATGTTCAAGTGTTTTCTGCTTGTGTAATGTGCTGTTAGATTACTTTCACCAATATATGCTTAAATACACTAAAAACTTTTTTTCCTGAATCTGACCTGGTTGAAATGGGGGTGCGTCTTATATACCCATGCGTCCTATATGCCATCAAATACGGTAATCATAATGTTGCGTCAGCGAGGTCACGTGACTAGTGTCACACCACGTTTCTAGAACTATCCTGTTCCTTCGTGAATGCCCCATCATTTACTAAATATATGTTAGTCTGGTATATATATAAGACGCTCACAACGTGACGGGACAATGTGTGTAGGTAGTGAGTAATGGAACTGCAGTCAGAAAGTATTGTTGAAGTTAACGTTCGTTGTTAAAACGTTTGTTATAGAGCGACTGTTGAAAATAAGTGTATCGGTAAAGTTATATTCAGAAAGAATAAACCAGTTTTATTAAGTAAGGACTTGTGTCGCTAAAGTTTCGTCTGAACGAAGTTACGGAAAATCAACTAACGAACGGAGACGTAACAATAACATACAGCGTGGCATGGCTTGGTGGCTAGAGTACTCGACTGACAATTTGTGAGTCACGGGATTGAATCCTGTCACCGTATCCCTTCAGCCGTGGGGCATTATAATGTTACTATCAATACCATTATTCATTGGTAAAGAGTAACTCAAGAATTAGCGATGGATGGTGTTGACTAGCTGCCTTCCCTCTAGTCTATCACTTCAAAATTAGGGACGGCTAGATATCCTTCAAATAGTTAAACGCAAAATTCAACAAGCAGAATTGTAATCTAAGAGTTAAGAGTTTAGTTCTAATTTACTATGACAACATTAAAAAGGATATATATAGAAACTTGAAATTGATGAAAAATTCATCTTGAACTGTTCACGAAATATTGAACTTTACATAAACGAATGAAGTGAAAATGTATTTAACACATCAATAATTACATACATGAACATGGCTTTAAATGGGTTAGAGTGAGTGCGTGAACTAGTTAAGCTCTGATCCTTTTGTAGTAATTATAATAATATTGAACAGGAATCACTCACCATGTGCTGGGGGGAGGAAGAGGTCAAATGAACCTGACCCTCCCAGGTCTATAAGACCTAAAGCCCGATGCCTACATGAGAGTCGAGAGCAATGTTCTTCAATTTTCATATGGTGTATCGTCGTTAATAAACTTTAAATAGATTTGTATTAGCATTATTTTGCCCATTCATAATATTGTTGCGTCATCGAGATCACGTGACTATTCTCACGCCCTCTACTTTCTAGAACTATCCTGTACTTTGGCGAATGCTCTAGCATTTACTAGATATAGGGTAGTCTGGTATATAAAAGAGGGTAACAACGTGACGGGAAGGTAATGTGTGTGTAGATAGTGAGTAATTGAACTGCAGTCAGAAGTATTGTTGAAGTTAACGTTCGTTGTTATAGCGTTTGTTTTAGCGCGATTGTTGAAGTTGAGTTATCGGTAAAGTTATATTCGGAAAGAATAAACCAGTTTTATTAAGAAAGGACTTGTGTCGCTTAAGTTTCGTGGGAACGAAGTTACGGAAAATTAATTAACAAACGGAGACGTAACAATATAAAATGTTTTAGATGGATTAATGTTAAAAAAATAATTAAAAAACCAATTAATATAAATCTAATTCCATGCTGATTTAATAAAAATATTCTTGTGAGTTGGTGCGTTTATTCATAAAAATAGAAAAATAAAAAATCTAAGAATTTATGAGTGAAATATAAAACGTACATGTAATAATATTTTAATCATACTATCTGAGGAGGCCCGGCATGGCCAGGTGTTTAAGATGCTCGACTCGCAATCTGAGGGTCGCGGGTTCGAATCCCCGTCACACCAAACATGCTTACCCTTTCAGCCATGGGGGCGTTATAATGTTACGGTCAATCCCACTATTCGTTGACTCGTTGGTAAAAGAGTAGCCCAAGAGTTGGTGATGACCAGCTGCCTTCCCTCTGGTCTTACACTGCTAAATTAGGGACGGCTAGCGCAGATAGCCCTCGTGTAGCTTTGCGCGAAATTCAAAACAAACAAACTATCTGCTATATCAGGTGCCAACATAACCTTTAGATCACTCAATATCAGGTCGACTAGGTTACGACAAACATAGTGGTGGAGGCGCTATTTGTACTATATTAAAGTAGAAAAGTTCTACTGGTAGAATTTTTCATTTTTTTTTAAAGAAGTTTTATTTACTTATTTACAGAATGATAACATTAGTGATATTGTTTTCATTCTCTCTCTTTTTGAAAAATTCTTTCTGGCTATGTTTCTTTGACTGTTTTTATTCCAGAGCTTTCTATGTAATCATGTTTGAGGCAGAAATTAAAAATTCCTTACATGATTTGCTAGCTGCGAATGAACTTATTTGAATGAACAGATGATGATTACAAATAAAAACACATATTTGTTCCTTGGACATTTTACATTATCATATCGAATATTATATTAAAGTTGGAAAGTGAATTGCATTTATAAGTTACAACTTTGAAACTGGCTTAACTAGCAATAATAACGACACCACGCAAAGGTTGTTCTTTTGTTGTTCAGAAAAAACAACTACACAATAGACTATCTGTGCTTTGCCCACTACGGGTATCGAAACCCAATTATTCGTGTTATAAGACCTCAGAATTTCCTCTGAGCCACTGGAAAAGAAGAGGAGGAGTACTTCGCACGCGCGCGCACACACACACAAAACAAAATCGAAGTATTAAGTGATGGTGTTGATAGATGGCGCCAATTACGAGGCTTTAAGGCATATTAAGTCAATCTGGGAA